CACACACACACACACACACACACACACACACACACACACACACGCCTGTCAGTGTCTCGTTCCGGTTCATTCTCCTGGTTTTGCAAATATTTCTCAACATTTCTTGATGTTATTCCATCAAGTAGTTGTTGAAGTATTTGAGTGTTTTTGCAGTGCTGGTGACACTGCAGCAGCAGAAACTGGAGACACATCAGTGTGTTTAAAGTTCATAATTCAAAATGTATATTAACGCACATTTTACATCTGCTACATTTCCAGTAGTCACGTTTCAAATCTCAGCTTGGCACAGAGAAAAGTCGCTGCCACCTGGCCACAGATGAAAACTCAACACCGCGTCACAACCCAGCCTTTTTCTGTCTGACATCCAAAAGATTAGTCTTGCTTTGACAGCAGAGCAACAGGTTTGGATTGCTGATATGTTTTCTCCTAAAACACGCAAACAAATCTTTTCTACAACCAGACGAGCCGTGGCTTTGCTCATGAATAATTAAGCATTAGATATGCTGAAATGAAAGCCTTTTTTTTTTTTGGAACACATTTTTATTACATAAAAGCAACAAAGTTACAACACAGAAGGGATGCAGATGTAATAAAGCCAGTGGCGGCAGCAGCATGACTCATAATTTTGCAGTTTTTTGCTTGTTAAGATCGTCTTATTGAAATGCACCTATTAGCCTTATCCATGCCGGACTCCTGAGGCCTGGAGGAGAAGTCTCTCTCTTTTAGCTTGATGTCGCCAGTCTAGCCCCGGCCATTATCTCATCCCAAATGTCAATATTGCCATTTTTATGAATCTGATTAGTCCATAAAATGCCAGAGGGTCTTGAGATCCCAGTGGACTTCCGTGAACCTGTGGTAACATCATTGTCTGGTCCTTCCTGGCAGAGATCTGACATCACTTTAGCCAGATGGCAGGTGAAAAGGCTTCTGGGATTTAGTGTCTTTTTTTTCTTTCCCCCCCTTGTTGGACTTTCTGACAACTACACACAGCTAAGCCGATCATTTCCATTGTTTACCTCGTACAGAGCCATGCAAAAATACACCAAACTAGCTTCGGGGCTTTATAGATGACTGCACATCATGCAACATTGCATCAGGACTCCATCAAAATCTCATTCTGCAGATAATGCTGAGAAAATGGGATTTTGGACAGCTAAAAATAAACAAGGCGGTCTACGGGTTGGAAGAGGGAATTGGGTTAATCCAGCACTGAAAAATGGTGATTGTTTGAAATGTGATTACTGTTATTAAAATACACACACATGAGATGGAGACTTCTGTGGGGGGTGTGGGGGTTCTAGTTCCTTTCAAAACCTGCCAATCATCTGCGAGGAGCCGCAGTTGGGGATCAGAGGTCGGTTATGACCTGAGGTAAGAGGGAGATGTAGCACGGGTGGGAGGTAGCGTGCTTGTGTCCGTGCGTGTGTGGATGAGCGAGTTACCCTGCAGCACATACAACATCTGGAACCAGTGAGCAGTGCAGAGACTGCTGCCAGGGTCACCACAGTGGGAGGTGCCCCCCCTCCTTCCTCCTCCTCCTGCTGTCCTCACCCCTTTTCCTCTCTTCGCCTCACTGTACATCCCTCTTCTCCCACAAAGCAAGCTCTCCTCCCTCCCGTGCAGCACCCTGACTGAGCCTTGTTAGTTGCAGACAGACGGGCATTCACATGGAACCCCTCTCTGACACAGGAAAGCCCCGTGAAAGGGGCTGCTCTGTGGAAGTGATCCTGCGGAGAGCAGCCGCATGGAGGGGAAGGAAGGGGCAGGAAGGACGTAGATGAGGCCTAACTGTTTCCCTCCTACCTTATTTTGTTAGAGGGCCGAGAGAAGAAAGCCACGTTAGAGGTTTACCTCTGAGAATCTCCTCCTTATATATGATCAATATGTGAAAGTTTGCTGTAAGCTGCGTTGCTTTATCTCATTACTTCCTTATTATATATGTATGATACATTTCAGCTTCAGAAGCAGAATTAATCATTATTTGCATATCTCGAAATAACCTTTTTAAATAACTCAACACTACTAAATCCTTAAAATATTATACCATTAATCTGGCTTTTTTTTGTTGCGTTTGTGCACACTAATTCAGAACTCCTGCCTGACATTTTCCCTTCATTGTGTTCCTGACAGAATACAGGCCAAGACGCGGGAACTCCGTGAGAAGCAGGCAAAAGAGAGAGAGTACGCAGAGATCCAAGATGTCGTCAGCCGCACCTTCAGCTCAGACGAGGACCACACTTACGCCGGCATTGGATCGCTGTGCTCGTCAATAGACAGCAGCACCATAGACCCCTACAGCCACCCCTACCATCTCCCCCAGAGTCCTCTGAGCCCGCATCCTCCTTCCCTGAACCTTCAAGACAACGGTCCTCCCCTGGAGGCGCTGTACGCCCAGGTCAACAAGCCTCGCAATGGACGCCCCGCAGCTCCAGACAGGTAAAGGATGCCCCAAAAAGCAGTGCTTTTTTAAACTCCATACCTTTCTTGTTCATTCAAACGACACTAACTAGCATTGCGCCTTTGCATCAGTGTAGTTGCTTTACACCTCATCTATAATTTATACACAGTAATGTGATTGTATTTGTTCGCTCCTACTTGTCGTGGGTGACTCGTACTTTGCAGAAAAACAATGGATTTCACACGAGGTTTCACTGCACGCTCCGTCCCACAAGACATTCCTCCCGTGCAAGCACCTAGGTGAAAGAATAACAGCAGATTATCAGTAATTCTCCATGTGTTACAATTCCACATCAAGCAGTTGCACTTTTTTTTTCTTTCCATTACTCTTGGATCACAGGTAATACTCCATGACTTCTCACATCCCTTTCCAGACAGGCACATTATACCGGCTTTCTAGACAAAGGAGGGAAGTCTGCTTTAATATAAATATTTGATGTGAAGACAATGCCATGTTTGATATTACTCTTTTAATAGGTGCCAAAAATCCAGTGTGAAGCCAGTGTTGCCCTCCCATCGTGTGTGTGTGTTTTAATTTGTTGCTGTGATTCAAAAGTAGAGTGCTTTTCTTTCTTTCTTTTCTGTTTATTTTTTAAATTTAAAGAAGAGAAGGCCTTGTGGGACAAAGCACGCAGTAAACACCCCTGTGAAATTCATTGTAAATAAAAGTGGTTAAATATAGTTTGCCAGCTCAAAAAAATGCTCGTTTTTCAGCTCAGTTGTACTGTGTTTTTAGCAATCGAGAATTCTCACCAGTCAGTGTGGTCACATTAGGAGCCTGCTATTCTCATGGTCTCCCATAACCTTAGGGCGCTGGATAATTCCCACATCCTGTGATTGACAGCTGTCACTTGGGGGCACGTGACCTTTCACTTCTAGGCACGTATGTGTTAACAGAGGACGTATGTGTTAACTGGGGATCCAACGTAATCACAAATCACTATGGCATATCATGGAAATGTAACTACACGTAGCCTTAACACATCCTGCAACTACTGTGAGTATGTTACATTCCTCCTGTGTGTTTCAGGCTACTTTTGCACTGCGTTTTTTTTGAATGGATCAATGGGATCAATTATTAGAAAGAATTGTCGTAGCTCACAAGTGGATAGTTTCAGAATAGATGTGAAGGAATGTACACAGAAGTAAAAAAAACTGCAACAAAGGGTAGCAACTCAGGAGGGGAAAAAAACCCAGAAATCCCAGCATTTTATTTGATCCTCTGGTGGCTAGCACTGCATATAAAACACTGGGACACGGCCACAAGGTAGTTAACAAGAAAGCACAAAGCACAAGCATCATTGCTCGCCTAGGTTACGTCATAGGCTCAACCAAGAGTTGCAGCTAAATCAGCTTTTAGTGTTGGAGGAGGCTGGACCAACTCCCTGTGTGTGTCTATGTGTTTAAGGAGGAAGATCCTCTGTCAGTAGAGATGATGAAGTTGTCTGTTTCCTGTGATCGCTGATTTAATCCATTTACCAAAACATCCATAGGTATGGATAAAAGCCACTGATTCATATTTTTAAAGTCAAGGTCACGTCTGCACGTTTCTACAGGTAGTGTTTTTGTAGTCATAGCAACTGCAAACTTCTTATGGAGGAACTGATGGTGAATAAAGAATGTTTGATTGGTTTTCAGCAGCTGTGTGTAGTCAGATCACAACATGCTGGTCAGTGATGCACTCGAGACGCTCTGTGCAGGGATACAGTGTGAGAGCCTTAGTGTGAGACAACCATGTGAACGACTTAACTGCCAGAAAAGGACATTTAACCATCAATCTGCTTATTGATCATCTCGGAGAAAGCAACAGTCTCCCTGTATGATGGGTCTGATTGTCAACTCTTCTGTCTTTTCTTCTTCCTTTCTCTTGTTATAGCTGTGTTTCGGACACATCTTTACATGTTTCTCTCAGCATCTAATGCCTACATAGTGGTGCATGTTAATCATAAATCCAAGCTTACAGTAAGTTTGGGGTCTGAGCCTTGAGTACTGATAGCACAGTATGGATTTTCTTCTATGTAGGGATGGGATTAGGCGTCGCAAATGTTGTGAATTGATTGGAAATGTGCACTCCATGTTCAACAGCGCGTTTGTGTTTTGCACCTCTTGCTGCTTTGCATATCTTGTGTATTCCAGCCAAAGCTTGAATGCATGTAATATTTGCCTTTCTGCCTTTGAGAATAATAATATTCTCTGGTTCTTATTTCGCTCAGAGGCTTTCTATTTGCAATTTGAAAGAAAAAAAAAAGAGCTAGCAACACATCTGCATTTCAAGACTCCTGTCACTTGTCTATCATAACAAACATAAACAGTAATTTGCATTTCTAAATTAAACTTAATGGAACTTTCATTGTCAAGAATAGGGCGCAGACACAACAGAATTTACAATCATTTCTGACTAATCCATGTATCGAGGCAGCGAGATTGGAGTGAGAACTTTTGATTTACCTTGCAGTTATATGACTTACACTTTCTTTCTTCACTTTTTAATCCTGACACTTGCTTCTTATTTTGGAGCATCGGCAGCGATGACATGAAGTGCGTGTATGAGGCGAAGAAAAAAAAAAAGGAAAGAAAAGTTGAATATTGTTCATTGAGCTCGGCTCATTCGCGGATGTCAGTTTTCAGTATGAAAGAGAAGAATGAGCAGCATTTAACCCTGACCTGGATACTGTTACTTCCTTCTGAGGAGGCCCTGGAGAAACACACTGTGATCAAAGCGGCAGATTAAGGATCCTGTTTTACTCGGTTGTTTGAGTGATACTCTGACAGAGTTGAGGTCTGCGGTTAGAACTGCTATATAAAAAAACGTGTCATTGCCTTTTAACCTGATCAATTTCTACCACATGACCCTGTGCACTTCATAACAAAAAGCATCTGTAGTGTGCAACAGTATACACTGTCTAAAAAGTAAACACATTTATTGCATGTCATGCCAAAAATGCATGTTGCATAAGAACATTTTAAAACAAGCAGTTTATTTGTGACCAGCAAATAAATACCGACAAGTAAATACTATTATATGTGATTAATACGATGTCAGAACTCCTGATTTTCATATGATCACTAGAAGCAAGGCACGGTTGCATAAATCTTGTCAGGAACCAAGAAAAGAGAATTTGGTTAATATTAGCTAAGACCATGTGTACCAATCAAAATAAAGCCTACAAAACAAAACATATTAAATACTCAACAGAGACAGAGAACTTGTATATGCACCTGCCTTAGCCGATTAGTTTTCTTTCTTCCTTCGCTCATTTGCGTAGCTTTGAAACAATCCTCATGCGTCCAGGAGTCGATGTTCCCACTTGTCTGTTTAACATCGTCTCAGAACTTTCGTTAATCAAATTAAGTTCCATTCAGTTTTATTCATATAGCACACAACCAAAACAACAGGCCTCAAGGCTCTTGCAATGTAAAGACCCTACAGTAATACAGAGAAAACCCCAACAATCTGAGAGCACATTCCCAAGAGCAAGCACTCGGTGACAAAGGGAACGAAGAACTCCCTTTTAACAGGAAGAAACCTTCAGCAGAACCAGGTTCGGGGAGGGGTGGCTAGCCACTGCAATCTGTTGGAGGTGAGCGGAGGGAGACGAGGAAAAGGGGTGTATAAATACACGAAGATTCAAAAGAGGTGAATGGAGAAGAAACACTCATTACAGCAAAATACGTTTAATTAGATGGAAAATCTTTCTTTAGCTTCAGTAAACTAAGCAGAGCTGCTTAGTGGCCCTTTGGTTTGGTTTTGGGCAGTGGTCCTTTTCAGAGGAGGTGGGGTCCAGCTGCTTGCAGATCCTGTTTTCTGTAGATTTTGGTTTTGCATCTGTGACTCACTTTTACTTCTTGTTTTTACATACAAGTGCTTTCATTTAATGCCTTAATTCACCCGTGACTCTGCGCAGCTAACAAAGCTGCATACTTGTTTATCTACTACAGTTCATAAGACGAGGCCACAGCTGGAAAAATAGCCTGGGTATGCTCCCCTCTCTCTAATAGACCTTTGGTAATGGAGCTCTAATAGGAAGGTCGCTGTGACTGTAAAGCTGGAATGAGTCAGACCTGAGCCTATAAAACCCTTAGAGATACGAGGACCCCTGGTCGGTGTGGGCGTCCAGAGATCCTGCCCGTGCTGTCGTATCAAGTTTTACTGTTCCTCCATGAGATCACGGTACAACAAGAGCTCATTTGACAATTTATTACTTACCTCCATGTTATTAGAACTGGCAGCTCCAGTGCTGTTTTGACAATGCTGTCAGACTCAGTAAAACTGAAGGGCACCAATAGACAGCTGGGATTTATTTATGTTCAGTTTTGTTAACGCCTTATATAAAGCAAAGGTAAATATCATTTGTCACACTGCACACAGAGTAAATTGCACTTGCTCTGTTACGAAGCTTACATGAGAGTGAGGCAGACGTAAACACCCGACCAGCGTTTCCTTTTAAGTTTGTTTCGTTTCACCTTATTAAAAAAAAAAAGGTAAGACCTAGCAAAATGGAGTGACCTCATTTCTTGACAGGCGGTTGACAAGTCAACCCTTCCATCTGCCAAGGGACCGGGTGGTTTGGGTGACTGGAACTGGATGCCGCGTTTCAGAACGACAACCTGACAGGTGCCAGGCTCCACGGGGTTTTTGGGAAGCGGGCGTAAAACAAAGCATCACCTTTGAGAGTGCAATATGATTGACTGCTGCTCCCATTACCCAGTTGACTTTCTAAAGCCTCTTAGAGCACGGGCAAGACAGAGTCAGGGAGACACAGAAGAAGAGGTGGTGGCGGTGGCAGCGACGGCGGGTGGAGAAACGATACGGAGCTCACGGCGCTCAGCTGTGCAAAGCCCTTGAAGTCCTCTGCAACTCAGCAGCTCTGCAGAGTTTGGCAAGCAAGCAGCGAAGAGAGGAAAACAACCCAAAGAAACACTCAGCGCCGTGTTTTTCTCCTCGCTCTCGCCGCACTGAAACTCAGTCAAATCCTCCA